AATTTGGGAGTTGAAGAAAGTGCTAAAAAAAAGTAGTAACATTCATCTATGTAATCATAAGCTTATGGGATTCACCAACACCTCCCAGCAACCTATATGGTCACATCTACTTCACCTGAGCTCCTGTCTGGTTTACTGCTATGATCATGCAAATGCCTAATTTTAGTCCTTTATTAAATGATGCCCAAAAGAAAGAGACACCAATGATTCTCAGGTACCATTCAATACATATATATTACATGGTTCTTCTTTTTTATCTATAAAAAACCCAACCCTAATAAAAATAATAAATGTAATCAAAATGATAGCTATTGATAAAGATGCATGCTGGCATTTTTTAGAAATTTTTTACTTTCCTCAAACTGCCACTGAAAATAGTTGGAAGAGAAGAAAAGCAACTCAGGAGGGGCTGTTAGAGGTTCGTCTACTGTATGTAACTTTCAAAAAAGTTGATTAGATTTTTATCCTGCCTTTATTCTTTGCTGAACTCAAGGTAATGTGCATATCTAATGCTTACGTCTCTGTTTTCTCTAAAATCAGAACCCTGTGAGGTGAGATAGGCTGAGAAAGACCAAGCCACCCAGCAAACTTTTCTATCTAAGAGAGGACTAGAACTCATTGCCTCCCATTTTGTATCCCAGCATCTTAGCTATTACCCCAGACTGGTTCTCAGTTGTCCAAATCCATTCTAGTGGGAGGAAGCACCCATATGCAGAAGGATGAAATTAAAATGCCACCCCAATTTGATCACAATGGACTCATTTCTAGAAGGAAGAAGGATCAAAATTCTTGTTATACAATATACATGCAAAAATCAACACATCTCTATAAATATAAAATTTCCAACCCATTTGCAGAAAGCTCAGAAGGGGAACCAATTCAGTAATTCAGCTTTAAAAGAAATGTAAGGGGAACTCTGAAGGGAAAAAATGCCTTTAATGGAGCAGTCTCAAAAGGATAACAGACTTCTCAGTGTGTAATCCCAATTACGGTGGGTGTTCTTTAGAATATATTTTCGACTTTCACCCAAAATCATGAAATAATACTAGAAGTCATGGGAAGAGTGAGACAGAGGTTAGTTCTGGGGACAAAGCAATCCTTGCTTCATACAACCAACATCAAAAGAAATCATATTTAGTCATTCCTTTCTTCTCAGTAACAGAAAATACATGTCCTCTTTTACAAATTTCCCTCACATGTTCCTTAAAGAGAAAAAATAACTTTTTTCTATACATTCCCATAACAAAGTCAGCCTCCTTTCACATACACATTTTTTTTTCCTGATAATAACTTCTGTCCAACAGACATATTCTAACTAAATCCCACATTCTTTCTCACATAAAAGATTCCACTCTCCCCCCACCTTATTTGTCTCTTCCATGTTATTTTTTGGGAAGTGCAATTCTGCAAATGGCCTCTTAACAGAATATTGGTATCCAAACAGTGCTAGAATTCAGAGGATGGATTTAAATAGAGATACTATTTAGAAAGGAGTGTCTATGGAGATTCTCAGTCATCCAGGTCATGGTTGTTCCAAAAATACTTTTTCAAGAGGCAACTGGCACTTCCTTTGCTTTCCCTGAAGACATTTTGCTTTTCATCCAAGAAGCTTCTTCAGAACTGAAAAAACTTCTTGGATGAGAAGTGAAATGTCTTCAAGGAAAAATAAAGAAAGTCCAGATGCCTCTTGAAAAAGCACCTTTGGGATTATCAGAAAGAAGATATTAAAATATGATTTGAATCAGTCATTCAAATGCCCTGTTGACGCTTGAGAAATTTAGAAAGAGATTTTTTAATGAACTGTGGAAACATTGCAAAAAGTTTTGTTTAAGAACTTTTGGGATGCTGAAATCCAGTTCACTCATACATAACTGTTATCTTATTCTCTCATACATAACCTGTTTGGTTTTATACTTATGCCTCCTGTTCCATCCTCTTTCTTTTGGAAGGAGGAAAAAGTTGAGCTACAGCATCTATTGGCGAGACACAGAAAATGGCTTCTTAAATTAAAACTGGGAAATGCTTCCATGTGCCCAAATCAATAGGCAAAAGGGAATTTCCATGGATTAAGCTCTCCGGATACAGCTGACTGACACCTCTAACTACTACTACTAAAGCCACTCTTCATAAAAATTTTATCGTGCTAATTTCTAGTGCTCTGTCTTGGTCTGAAGCTAACCTGAAGATAATCTTCCTTTCTATCTACCCAACAAACTGAAAACAGCATTAAGGTGTCTGAAGCTCTGTAGGAGAAGAGAAAGAAGCCAGCAGATGGAATGATTTGAATTCCTATCAATGCGAGAAAGGACCACTAAAATTCTAGATCCATAGCTGTTCCAGAAAAAAAAAAATCTGGTACAGCTACCAATAGACTATGACTGAGCCAGTAATATATCAATTCTGTTCTTGGACACATAAGACTAGAAAACTTCAAAGATATTTTTTGGAAGCATCTTCAGTAAACATTGAACCGTTCCATACAACCCAACCAACTCACACATCTATCTCACATTATTCCAGGTCTGCAGTCCATATTCTGAGGAGGTGGTAGGTTGGCAGAGGTCAGTCTACACCAGAAAAGCACAGGCAAGAGTTCAGAATGCAAATATGCATCCCTCTGAAAATAAAATAGAAGTATTCCTTTGTGTCAATCAGAGATTGGGGTTGCTTTCTATGAGCTGCTGTCAGATTGCAAGAGAAAGCCTGAGAGTACCAGATTGCAATGAATGATAAACCAAGCCTGTGTGGACTGTTCTTACTCACTAAGACAGAAATCACAACTTTCAGCCCCTGCCCAAATTAAACTAACCCAAACCAAGGAAGTTTGAATAAGCTTTCTTCATCTTCATTTTAGCTTCACAAAAACTAAAGAGGTAGGTTAGGCTAAGCAACAGACTAGCTCAAGGTTATTTAGTGAGTTACATGACTGACTGGGCATTGGAACCTGGTCCTCTCCAATCCTATTTCAACATTTTAATTACTTTTTTATACTGGTAGGTGCAAGCTTCATCCTAAACAACAGTTTAAGCTATGTTCACAACATGTGAGCCCATGAATCATTCCAGAGGGGTGAGTTTCTATGATACATTAAATGACAACCCCACCAGTTCAGTTACATGATAGATAAACAGATTTAAATAAGAATAGAGACAGATCTGAAGATCTGAATCAATGGTTTTAAAACTAGGATTCATCAGATATTTATATGAGGTTTTAAATACTGATTTCCTGTCATTATCTGGTTTTTTTTTTTTTTTTTTTAAGAAAGAGAAATACAGGCAGTTCAATCCAAAAATAATGACAAGGAATCCATAATTAAAGGCATTTTTTTCCCCTTCAGATATGCACTGGACAAATACAGAAAGAAATTAATAATGAGTTATTAAGATAAGCTATTCAAGATGAAATTAATGAACTATTCATTCCTGATTCCTTCACAGCATTTATCAGGAAGCAATAAGACAGACTGAAGTTAAACAAGGAAGTTTTAATTGACATTAATGAGTATTTCTCCATCTCAAACTTTCTTGAGTAAAGAAGAACCTTGGCCAATGATAACATAGCACTTTGCTAAATACTTAAAGTTCTTTTAATTCTGCTCCCCTCTTAATATTGAAAAGTCATGCAAATTGGCCCAAGGATGAAAGGAGTTTTGCATATCTGTCTAAAGCATTATTTCAGAATCCCCAAAGTCAAGTTTGAAAACTTCTCTGTTTCTTTTAGCAAATTAGATTCTCTATTGCTCCCTCAAGGTTTTGCATTAAGAAATTCAGAAATGAAAAATGTAATAACCCGCCAGCACTCCCCCCCCCCAAAGGGGTGAAAATGGAGGTCATTAGCCCTTGATTTGAGTTTGGGAAGAGGAAAGGAGGAACGCAAGATGGGGAAGGAAAATATGAGGCAGGAATGAGCCTAGATGGCTTTAGACCAGAGGTGGGAAACGATGGCCCTTTTATGATGTGTGGACTTCAACTCCCAGAATTCATGAGCCAGCCATGCTGGCTCAGGAATTCTGGGAGCTTAAGTCCACAAGTTATAAAGGGCCTCTGCTTTAGACGATAGCAACCTCATAATCTGGTTCCTCTGAGGAAGAGAAGATAAATTAAAGCACCCCATATTATAGGCTGATTCTGCTGTATATACAAAACCCATCAGGGAAGGAGATTGGTGGGTGGGAAAATAGGGATCACCAGTGTAGATTATTCCAAAATGGACAAGGTTCCGTAACCTTTTACAAGTTACAAGAAACAGCATTAAAATACTATCAAAAATTGAAGATATGTTAGTGCAGATCATAAAATGATAAAAATAAAACCTTGGAACAGACAAACAAAATCCACATGTATAAGAAATGAATGGACTATGAAATAATGATGTTTTCCAGGCCTTCTAGATAGCCTTTGCTTCAAATCCTGACAAGGTTTTGGACTTATTTTGGACACTTTTTTTTTTCAGCAAAATTATTTTTCCACCAAAGCTACAATGTCAACGGTTTAGGGGAGAACACGAGTAAATATACATTCAATATATCAAAGTTGGTTTCCTCTAATGCAATGATCTCCCCCTCTTGGTCTGGCAATCTTAATCAAGACTAAGAAAAGAACAGGTAGTCCTTGACTTATGACCACAACTGAGTCCAAAATTTCAGTTGCTAAGCAAAGCAGTTGTTAAGTGAGTTCTGCCCCATTTTACAACTTTTGTCACAGTTGTTAAGCGAATCACTGCAGCTGTTAAATGAATCATGAGGTTGTTAAGCAAATCTGGCTTCCTCCATTGACTTTGCTTGTCGGAAGCCTGCTGGGAAGGTTACAACTGGTGATCACAATGATCCTGGGACAGTGCAGCAGTCATAAATAAATGCCAGTTGCCAAGGCCCCAATTTGATCACATGTCCATGGGATGCTGCAAAGATCAGAAGTGTGAAAACTGGTCATAAGTCTTTCTTTTCCCAGTGCCATTGTAATTTCAAAAGGTCACTAAACTAATGGGTGTAAGTCAAGGACTATCTGTAGTGAGGTTTTTTGGGGGGAGGGGAATACATAAAAAAATCATTCTCCCTCATACCAGACTTATACACTTAAAAATATTTTCCAAGATTTTAAAGAAGCCATGTTTGTACTGCACACTCATTCCTTTCACAAAGGTGGGGAAATGAAAAGATTTTAAATGATGGTTGCATACACCATAACATTACACCAACATGTAGCATTATAAGAAAAAGACAAGTAATGTTCTCTCATCTGTTCCATTCTTTCTATATTTCTCTTCCTTTGGCAAAGTGAATTACATAGTTTCTCTGTTTTTTACATAATTATCTAGTTTGGCCACTCTTGATTTAGGTGTGATCTATGCCATTAACATAGTTAACAATTAAGCTGAATACAACCACTGTAATTTAGTATGCCACGTAAGCATTAAACTCCAGTGAGTGAAAATGCAAATAAACTAAGATCTGAAGTTGGGTTATTTGCAATGAAATCAATAGAAACCACAGTTTGTCAGTCTGCTTTGAAAATATGGCAAATTATGGTTAATCTAAAAGAGAAGCAAACAAGTCTAGATTATTATACCAGCTGTCCTGAAAGGAATGTGGGATTGAAGAGAGATTGAAAATTATAGAGCCATGTAGGCTCATATTGTTGAAATATGGTTTAATGTTACATCTGAAGTAGCTGGTGTTTTCAATATGGAAAAGAGTATTTCCCAACACTGGACAGTAATCAACCTACAAATCCTTGTGTATCTTTCTCCTACACTGGAAATACATATGAGAAGTACAATGATGATTAAACTATTATTTAAAATTGAGATCTCAGTGTCTGCCCTAGATCTGCTTAAGAAAAGCCTGAATATGAATGTTTAAACTAATGAAAGTAGTAGTGGCTGAAAGCAAAATTTCAACCAAGCAAATGTTCTTTTATCAAAATTATTCACAAAATAAAATATATATTCCAAAGGGCTAATTTTAAGGTTGGGGTGGGGGGTTATTTTTAGAAATCACTTTTATCTTCCATGTTTTTACTTTTAATGAAACACCATGACCCAATGGAAGTTTGCCATACATTTTATGTCTTTGTATGCTTAAGAAAGAACAGACCATTCAAAAAATGTAATGCAGAAAGGATTTTTTAAGCATCCTGAGCATCATAGATGATGCACAGTTGGAGAGAAAGCAGGTAGGCTTAGGATGAAGTTTACTTGTAATGATTGCATTTGAAATAACAGAGTTTTTTAAAAACTGCACTCACAAATTCAATATGGATGGATATCCCCTATAATGGGAAGCTAAATAAAAAGCACTAGAAAAATCGATGGAATGTAAGCAATATATAAAGATATGTACAGCAGAATGGGTGGACTTGATTGCGCCCTAGATCTTTATCATCAGAGTTATGGACCCATTATAAAACAAAGATAGAGTGAGAGTGGCAAAGAGCTGTGTATTGTGTGATACTCAAGCTCCTCCAATTTCAGCACTGACCAGACTTGTTACTGGAGACAACAGGATAAGATGGCCACCATTCCCTTCTTACAGCGCATCTGGAAGGAAGAGGAAGAGGTGGGAGGGGTCTCATCTATTCACTTTACCACTGTATGAGCAAAGGGATAGTTAGATCATCAGAAGATCATAATAACCTTTGTCTGTACACCACTAAGGGCACCAGGTATCTTCAACAAAAGTGCCGATATGAACCAGGTCCAAGTTGTTAACCAGCCCCAAAGGATGAAGCCCCATAGAGATGGCTTCATGCAAAGTGGATGAGCTGAAAACAGTCAGTGATGTCAATGATGAGTGAGGTGTACAGTGATGAAATCACCAAAAGTCAACATCGTTGCCAATTTCTGGCTACTTTGAAATCTGTAGCTATTGGTTGAGTCCATTGTGCTGAAATCATCAAAATGTGACAGGCACAGGAACCTTGATAGCATTCTTAGTTATCAAGATTGGCAGTACTATCATGAAATGTTGACATGGCCTCTTCCAACATCAACATGACTGATTTTGCCCTTCACCGTACAGAACCCACATACTGTAACTGACTTCATCAGTCCATGTGACACACTATAGTATTCTATCATAACCAGTGCACTAACAAACCTCTTTCTCCATTAACAACTTCTACCACTGACAAGTCAGACAGTGTTGATGTCAACAAAAGTCCACAGTGTTGATACCATCAGAGACTGATGGTGAGGGCATCAAAGGCCAACAAGACCCACAGCGCTTATATGAACTGCAGCTGACAGAATCCACAGTGTTGACACCACTGATGGTGTCGATGGTGTCACTTGGTCAATGGAGCATTCACTAAGATTGGCAATGTTCACAGCGCTTAGAGTTATAAGAGGCAAAGGGTGCCAACTTCATAAATCCACAAGTGATGTCTTCAGTCTTCAAAAATCTGAGACAAGGCCCAGAGCAATGATGTCATCAAATGTTGATGGACAAAACTAATATTGTAATCAAAGGTTGATGGGGCCTAGTAACTGATCTTATGCAAAACTATCTTCATGGCTTTGGAAGGATCCATAGGCCTGGTCACTAAAAATCAATTCAGTGTTACCAAACCTGGTTAGCCACAATGTCAACAGACACAGAAAGAGATAGTAGCAGCATTAATTGTATGAACCCAACTAATTTTGACATCTTCACAAATTGACTAATACTGCATAATTGATGCCTTCTATGAAACCAAGCAGGCCTTGATATACTCACATCTTATCATGAGCTGTAATGCTGATATTATTAAATACCAGCAGTCAATATCATCATCAAAGATTGTCAGGACCTGGCAGGTCAAATGGACCCAATCAAAAGTCAGTGAAGACTGTGATAGTGCCATTAGCAAAGACCAGGCTAGGACTTGACATCAACCAAGATGGAGGCCACAAGACTAAAATAAGAGGGAAAACCCCAAGAAAAGATAATGAGCACCAAATAAAGGGTGGGGTGAATCAGAAAAAGGGAGAAAAATATGGCCTTGGAAAGTCCAATCAACCTGAGTTGGGGAATAGGGACAACTCACACCGTGACCTCATTCTTGCTGCCAGTAGGAAGGTGTTGGGTTGGGTGGTGCCCCGGGATGAACTGAACTTGATCAATGGTGCTTTGCCTCTTGGAAGCAAAGCCTTGGCGCCTGGCGGCTGCCTGGTTACTACTACTACTACTACTAGTCTCCCAAGGAGCAGTTGCCTTGGGAGAATTGTTGGAGGCGGGATGAGAGTTTTTCATCATCATGTGATGGTGGTCAAGCATGGGGGTGCTGCTGGCACAGACATTGGTCTGAGAAAGAGCCTTCTGATGGCCCAGGTGCATTTCCTGGAAGGGACCCGTGTGTTGATGGAGACGCTCTGGAGAAAGCAAGTGCTCCTGAGAATGCAAGTTTTCCCGGGAGAGAAGGTGCTCATGAGATATGACATGCTCTCTTGGAATGGTGTAGTCGTAATGTGACGGGCGGTAGCTTCCCCCTCCATTTCCACCGTCTGAAAGGATGTGTTCTTGTGACATGACCCGCCGCGGATTGTGTGACTTCTCAGAATAGCTATCCCTATCATAGTTCATTTTCATGGCATGTAAGGGCAGCGTCCCTCGAGTCAACTCAGCAAGGTGCCTCCGCTTGGCATAGAATTCATCCAAGTCCTTCTCCGCTGCTGAGAAACGTGGAGAAAAAGTGAGATGTCAGTGGATGATGGGGAGATGGACAGGTGAGATTAAAAAACAGGAGAAAGGAACGTTAGAGTCATAGATGGATGGACCCAAGTGGCTTTGCGCTAAATGTTTAGTGCAGAACTGCCATGCCCTCCATTTTAAGGAGCATAAACACAACACAACATCTTGTCAATGGCTGTGTTCTTTCAGTGTTTCTATTCTTCTCCAATTATAGTGAGATTGCCTTCTTTCAGAAGGAACAATCCCAAAGGTATAGATCCCTTTAGGGAGCAGGAATCTGCAATGTCTTCTGGGCTGAAGATCCCACTTGGCTTTTACATGCTGTGCCAGAAACTACAATGCAAAAAGCAGCGGTTAGATCAAATGTGGACTTGATTTCATTTTATAGTAAAACAAAATTAAAATGAAATCATTTCATAATTTCTATTTTCTGTCTTATTTATTGCAATTTGATAACAGTTGCTGGAGATGTCAGGGAACTGCATCTAAATTTTCTGGAATGACTTGCAGTTCTGGCGCCTTAGATTGTATTCCAATGCATTGAAAGTATTCGTCCATCCTACAGCTTAGGTCTAAAAGGAACCATACTAGTACATTAAATGTGATTGAAGTGCAGTACATATTTATCCACTGGATTGTTCCATTCATATATAAAGATTAGGACTTATTAAATATCCTATTCCTCCAATCGACTCATTCTCGTATAGGTTGGCAGCTGTGAGTTAATTGGTGGCAGTTCAGTGCTCTCTTTGGAAAAATCCCAAATGTAGGTTTTTACAGGGCACCGTAGAAAGTTAAAACAGTGACCACGATATCTGAAATAAGAGGCCAAGATCTACTCAAATGCAGCTCTTGCTGAAAAGTCAAAGGCACAAAACTATTTTCCTTGCTCAGTTCATTTTTCATCATTACCACAGGGAGAATGAGGAGAAAATTGCTTAAAACAATGGATCACAAAGAAATATACTGGGCATGTGTGTGTGCGTGTGTATTTCTCATTTATAGTTCTTTTGTTATGAAAAAAGAAACACAACAGCCACCTTACACACACACACACACCCTTTCACTTATATCTGAATGGGACAATTTATGAGATGTATATTGGTCAAATGCCCCCCTGGCATGATAAATTATGCTCCTCTTCTACATAAAAGGCTCAGCAAAATCATATACAAATATCTCTGGAGAATCTCAGTGTGGCAGCTTAAGGCTTGGGTGCTAAAATTCTTTAACTGTGAGGAGATGGGACCTAAGGAATAGAAGTCAAAGACTGAGATTTTGAAACAAGTACCTAGGTGAGAAGAAATATGCTACATCACTTATTAAGAGCTACTAATCCCAAGGAACAGTCTTGTAAGATGGTTTGTCACCTTTTTTTTAAAAAAAAAAAACCCAACACCTCAGTTCTTTTTGTAAATAATTCAACTTACCCAATCGTTTGAGTGAGGAGTAACGGTTGAGTTCTGACTTGATGGCTGACTCGTAGGATGGAGGCAGATGGGAGAGGTTGTGAAATGAACGAGAACAGCTGAGGGTATTGTATTTGGTTGAGGAATGGCTTGGGGTATCATTCATGTGCCAGTCTTTTAAGGGAGCAGAGAAATTAGAGAAAAGTCTGTTAGTTTATGTAGATTTGATTTCTGCTGCATTTTACTTTACTTGCTTTCACACCCACCATTGAGTCTGGGATGGAAATCATTTGTTCACTCTGCTCTGGTGCAGAACCCAGATGGCAGTTTTCACATTCTGTTCCATTCTCATGGTCTCCAGGTGGGTCCTCCAAGGATATCTCTTTGGGTTACGCAAAACACCCACAACCCACTTCAAATTGGGGAGAGCATGTATAAAGCCTATTTTTATTTATTTATTTATTTATAAAATTTATTGGCCACCATCTTACCATAGGGTAACTCTGGGCGGCTTAAAGTCATTAAAATGTATCTATACACTAAAACATGAATAAATTAAAACCGAACATTAAAACCTAAGGACACGTGGGGAGGGTGGGGACAGAATGGGGGGAAGTGGGATCTGTTTAATGGGGGGAGGTGGGATCTACCTCCACTGTGCGGTTCCCGCACTGGGGCCCTAGGCCAACTGGCAGAGCCAGGTCTTTAGGCCCTTATGAAAGGATAGGAGGTTGGGGCCAACCTCACACTGGGGGGCAAGATGTTCCAGAGGGCAGGAGCAACAGCAGAGAAGGCCCTCCTCCCGGACCCCGCCAGCCGGAATAATCGGTCTGACAGAACTCGCAGCAGGCATTGTCTGCCAGCATGAGTGGGACAAGCCAATCCCAGTGGGGTGAGATAGTCCCACAAGTAACCTGGACCCATGCCATGAAGGGCTTTAAAGGTGATCACCAAAATCTTGAATTGCACCCAAAAGGAGACTGGTAACTATTACAACTCATGAAGCAGTGGTGTTATTGGGGTCATTCTAGGAGCCTCCAAAATTGCTGCCGCACTCTGCACCAGTTGTAATGCTTTTCATTCCAAGATACAATTTAATTCAAAGAGGTGAGTTGACTGGGCAATTCAAATCAGCAAACTGCTTTGATTGTTCCCTTTAATAAAAGTGAACATGCAATAGCATGAATCCTGCATTGCTTTGAATTCATTCAAAAACACCAGCTCAGTTTGGCCCAATGAACTAATTTGGCTCAATGAGCTAATTTGACAGTTTGATCCAAAGGAGAGCTTTGATTCACAAACCTTTCAAGGGGAGCTTTGAATCAAAACTCAATGTAACTTTTGCCACCAGGGAAATTAGCAAAGGGTGGAGAGTGCCAGGGTCTCTTCAGCACTAGCTGAGAAACTTTCCTTTTAAATCAGCTGTTTTCTTACTCAATTCAGCATGACCAACTGCTGAAATTTCCACTGCTAAGGAAGGCAGTTTTTAATTACCTATTTTCTTTTCCCCTCTGGCAGATTCTGTAGTAGCTCATTTAATTTTTTTTAGTCTGAGAAATTGCTTGTCGCCTTTCATTATTGACTGGTCTTCATTTATGATTGCAACTCTGATTCATTACAAATATCTCGGCAGCCACATTAAAATACTTTATTTTCTACTCAACGTATTTCTGCTAGGATGAGCAAGCCTCCATTAGTCCTTCAGAACCACTTCCTTTGTTCATATTCCCCTCCACCTGTTCCAGGCTACAACCTCAGCAGCCTCAAAGACCATATACCCTTCCAATAAATGAACAAATCCTTTCTTTCTCCCCAGACCTTATCCATTTTTTTACTCATTTACTCTCCACCTTGTTCCCAATTCTGGCCATTACACAGAAGCAGCCTGTAGGTCAGCGGTTCTCAACCTATGGGTCGCGACCCCATTTGGGGTCAATCGACCATTTTTCGGGGGTCGCCAAAGGCGGCGATCCGCCATTTTCTCCCCTCCGGTGGCGGCGCCACGCATGCACGCCGCGCATGGGGCGGCACGGCGCATGCGCATAACGTTTGTGTGACAGGGGTCGCCGTCACACAAACGTTGAGAACCGCTGCTGTAGGTAGATATAGGTAGATACAAATGGAGTCCACCTCTCATAAGAAAGGATAGTTTTGGGGAGAGAGAAAGGGAGATTTGTTCAATTCTTCAACACCTAAATACAAAAGTGCTGTGACATTATTCATACAATTAACAGTTGGGCTAGCTCAGGGATAGGCAACCCTGGCTCTTTTATGACTCGTGGACTTCAGCTCCCAGAATTCCTGAGCCAGCCACGCTGACTCAGGAATTCTGGGAGCTGAAGTCCACGAGTCATAAAAGAGCCAAGGTTGCCTACCCCCGGGCTAGTTGATTAGTAAATAATCATTTTAGAATGCCTGTAGTTAGATGCTATTTTTAAAATCCAGTTCATACTTGGATAGGGACCATGCAAAAATAAGAGACTGAACCACAACTGACTCCAAAATTTCCACTGCTAAGGAAGGCAGTTTTTAACTGAGTTTTGCTCCATTTTACAATCTTTCTTGTCACAATTATTAAGTGAATCATTGCAATTGTTAAGTTAGTAACACCGTTGCTAAGTGAATTTGGCTTCCCCATCGATTTTGCTCGTCAGAAGATCGCAAAGGGTGATCGTATGACCCCGGGACACTGCAACTGTTGCATGCCAGTTGCCAAGGACCCAAATTTTAATCATGTGACCATAGGGATGCTGCAGTGGGTCACAAGAGTGAAAAACAGTCATCAATCACTTTTTTCAGCGCACTAAACAAATGTGTTAAGCCGAGGACAATCCACTGTCATCTAACAGAAATATTTATCTCATTTATGACCCAACTGAGAACATGATTGCATGGATGAAACCAGTGATATCATGAGTCTATTGATTTTGTTGGACTTTGGCAGCACTATTGACAATAGCAAGGATCTCTTTTGGAGAAGGAAATAGGGAAAAAGCAACAGACCTTTGTTTAAAAACTTGTAGTCTCCTTTGTTTTGAAATTCTTTTGAATCCAAGCTCAGCACTACTGAAATTATCTTTCAGTATGTATTGTGATCCCACCTTTCTGTTCATTTCATTTCATTTTTATTGTAACGATGTTTAAAAAAAATATCAATTTGCTATCAAAAAATAGAGCAAATGACTCATTAAGGCTTTGATCCCATATGCCCCACTGAATACAGCAAGCCTTTTGAATAAACAGGCAAAAGGTGGGCTAATCTGTGGGAAACCACTGAAGATTTGTGTACAGATAGTCCTCGACTTCTGGCCACAACTGGGACTGGAATCTCAGTCATTAAGTGAGTCATTGTGTGACTGGATCTGAATTTACAACCATTTTTACTTTGGTCATTAAGCAAATATTCAGGTCATTAAATTAACCACACAATTGCTAAGAATATCAGATTTCCCCTGTGGATTGTTTGTTGGAATCTGGCTGACAATTTGCAGTCATGTGATCTCAACATGCTGCAGCCATCGTAAATGTGAGTAGGTTGCCATTCACCCAAATTGCAATCACATTCCTGTGGGTGTTGGTGGAATCGTGATAACTTCAAGAAAGAGTCTAAGTCACTTTTTCCCAGGCTGCCATAACTTTGAACCTTCACTGAACAAATTGTCATAAGTCAAGGACTACCTGTATGTGAATTCTAAGTACAATGTTTGTGATCTTGTTAGGGTTGGTCTGAAACTCGTTTATTTACTGTATATTAGAAACCCTCAGACAGAAGTCTTCAAAAGGACAACAATTTAAAACAAACGAAGTGAACAAAACCCACTTATCAAACAGCAGCAGATTATAGGAAGGACACAAATAGCACAGCAGCACAAATTCAAAAAGTTTGTGATAGAAAGTAGAGACAAAAAAGAGACACACCAAGTTTCCTGCATGGGGCTAATGCATATCACAGGAGCTGAGCCTAGAATGTATGGGAGATATTTGCCTGTTTGTCTATGCTTTAAATATTTCACCTTGTGGTAGAAAAATAAGACAATGACCATAACACAGGTGAACATTGCTTAGAAATTTTAGCTGGAGATTTGGAAAGTTGATGCTGAACATACTTCAGATTTGGGAAGACAGTACAGATCTACCAAATTATAGCCCACTAGTCTTTGTTAAAAAATAAAATACAGGTAATCCTTGACTTATAACAGTTCATTTAGTGACAGTTCAAAATTACAATGGCATTGAAAAATGTGATTTATGACCATTTTTCACAGTTACAACCTTTGCAGCATCCCCATGATCGTGCGGTCAAAATTCAGATGCTTGGCAACTGGTTCATATTTATGACCGTTGCTGTGTCCCAAGGTCATGTGATCACATTATACGACCTTCTGACAAGCAAAGTTAATGGGGAAACCAGAATTCACTTAACAACTGGGTTACTAACTTAACAACTGAAGTGATTCACTTAACAAAGGTGGCAAGGAAAATCGTAAAATAGGACAAAAATCACTTAACACATGTCTCACTTAACAACATAAATTTTGGGCTCAATTGCAGTCATATGTCGAGGGCTACCTGTATAATCTAAAGGCTGGCCTACCCGATCTTGTTTTAAAAAGACTAACCAAAATGAGTTCTATACCAAAACTCAAACCCTCCCAAAAGCACCCCCAAGGCATTGGCAAAATCCAGCCCTGGGTCTCATCCAGTGCCATCACTGAATCACTGCCTCAACTGCAAGAGTGGAAGTCTATTCCTTCCAGGCCATCTCAGTGTGAGGCTCTCAGTCCTACAAGCTGTGCAAGGCTGAGCTCCATATGGCATAAAGGTCAGGCAGCAAACTGCTTTAAGTTTCCTCGCCTTGCTTAGCAAGTACAAACCACTGCTGCGAAACAAGCTTTGTTTGAGCAAAGGAAACCTCCAGCTTTGGCGTTTGGGCTAACTGAGGTACAGATTCATTTTCCCTTCTGCCAAAGCAACTTGGTGCCAGGATCAATGATTCTAGAAGACCTCCAAGGTCCTTCCCAATATTATTATTATTATTATTATTATTATTATTATTATTATTATTATTATTGATCATCGCACAATCAGTCAGATGTTCAGACTGGATTTGGCATTTTTGTCTACCTATCGAGTCTTACCAACGACCTGGGATAGGCAGATGTGGATGTTTGATGGTATTTCAGATATCGTTGCAGGATGGAAGCAGTTCCTAGTAAGGCCGCCTTTTGCAATTGACTAATGGCAAATTTGTCAATGCCAATGGTGTTCAAGTGGTGCGCCAGTTGTTTTGGGATTGCACCCAAGGAGCCTATGACTATTGGTACTACCTTTGCTTGCTTTTGCCACAGTCTTTCTATTTCTATTTGTAGGTCTTTGTATTTTGTTATCTTCTCCAGTTCTTTCTCGTCTATTCTGCTGTCTCCAGGCACTGCCACGTCCACTATCCAGACTTTTTTGTCTTTCTTATCGACAATTGTTAAGTCCGGGGTATTATGTTGCAGGTGCTTGTCTATTACTACTACTACTACTACTACTACTACTACTACTACTACTACTACTACTATTACTATTATTATTATTCAAACCTGGGATTAATTTCTATCCCTGAGCTCCAACCCGACTTCCATGAAGGAAGGATCATTCTATCAAGCCAACTTCTCTGTTTGTTCCTGCCACCTTATCTTTCCTCTGAAGGCCACTATAATTTCTGTTTTTGTTGTTTCTTCCTCCATCTCTTTACTAAAAACTTCAAACCTAGCTCACTTTTTTTTACACCAGATGAGTCGGCTTCCAGATGTAGCTAAACTAAAGCTCACAGTAGCCTCAGTCAGAATCATCAACTGTGAAGAATGATGCTAGGAGCCAAGATGTGAAAGACCATAAATTATCTACTTCTGAGAAATAATCAAATCAAAATCTTTATTATGGTCATAGACGAGCATATTCCAAGAAATAATTCTACGTCCTGATAGCAGGATACTTCAACATGGTGAGAGCATCTTAAAATGGAAACAAGTCAAGACATCAACTTTATTATTCAATAAGGTCAAGACATTATTCCATAAAGTCAAAACATTATTCCTGAAAAGAATAGTGACATTCTAGGTCCCTGCTCTATTATCATATTTATGTAGCTTGGAATATTTAACTCAGGGAGGGTTACTCCTGAGAAAGCATATATAGGATTGTGTAATCCTATCATTTCAGGCTTATGCACAAGGAGGGAGTAGAAAATTTTTTGTGTCCAAGTTTGGCATTCATCACACCTTTTTCCATTGAAAAATAAGGCATGAGATAGGAAGCCTTGATACAAACTTGGACTATAGGGATAGGAGAAGGGTTTAACCATTCCTGAAATCCATTTCTTACTCAAAATTTTCATTTCTCACCAGTTGCCATTTGTAGGAAATATTGATTCAGGGTTCAAATAGGAGCTAAGCTATTGTAATATTGAAAATGGTGCTCTGCAGTTTTGGACCTACATAGTAGATCCATTGCTATCTGTTTGATTGCAATGCTTATTTTGCATTTCTCCGTCATAGTTCAACTCCCAGTTCTGCGAAAACAGAATTTAAAAATGTTCATGTCACATTCACTGTGACCATCATGAGTAGCGGGCAGGAAATAAATTATGTGACCCCTGTTTGCATACAACTCCACCCCTTTCATTTTGTGCTAGCCTTTACTTGGTCTTCTGGGTGACCATAACCTCCAATGCAGTGTTTTCTCAACTTTGGCAACTTTAAGATGTGTGGACTTCAACTCCCAACTCCCAGCAGGGCTGGCTAGGGAATTCTGGGAGTTGAGGTCCATACGTGTTAAAGCTGCCAAGATTGAGAAAACACTGCTCCAGTGACACAAAACTGGCCTCTCCATAACAGGTTTTGGCTGCTTTTGGGTGGTCAGGATCAACCTTAACATTTTTTGTCAGCAATACCAATGGGTAGGGATATTTTCCCCCTGGCGGAGTGAGTGGCTAAGGGTTCTCTGTATTTTAAATTATTAAATTTCACTGTAATGTTGTTCCATGGTGTTTCCTTTCTTAAAACATGTCTTGGTTTAGATAAGGCAGTAGCAGCAGAGGCAGACTGAGCTTGGTCCTCTGGATGTCCACATCCAGACCAGATCAATAATGTGAAATTGATCAGGCCTCCATTCTCAGGAATGGATGTCAATGAAGATAGACGGCTTCCAAAGAATTTGCATATTCCTTGTCTCATTTTTCCTGTCTCCCAATGTGTGTTGGCTTAGCTTATTTTATGATGCAGCCATGTGTGGGTGTCTATGTGTGAATGTATAATTGGGTGTGTGTCTATCTGAATAGGAATTTGTCAGAATGAAGGAAGGGAGATACAAGACAAACACACACATACCATTAACTTTTTTTTCTTTCTTTTGTAGTTGTAGGGGCACTCACTAAACACTGGGCATTTTGGGGAAGATCATTATTAAAATGGTCAGTATTTTCTTCCATTTTTGTGGTGGCTTCTGTTAATGAGCATTTGCTTGATGTTTTATTAAAATAATTTAGAGCAAAAGGAAGTAGACAGTTTTGCGAAGCCCAATAACACGTCTTTATACCGAAGGCATGTTAGTTCAGCCTTGAGGTGATTAGATTTCATTATTAAGAAATTTTAAAACAATTATAATTTAATTTAAATGTATAAAACCATACATTTTATTCCTCTGTCCTCCTGACTGTATATAATTCAACTTTGGAATTTGCTACCACAAGATATGGTGCAGCCTATTAGTTTTAAAAATGGTTAGATCGATTCATGGAAGTCACGAGGATCGAATGCCTTGTTGACAGTAGAACTACCTCTGAAGGCCATCTACTAACTAGTGGACTTCCTTGTATAGTTGGTTAGCCACTGTGAGAACCAACTGCAGGACACAATGGGCCAGGGCTCTGATCCAACAAGGCTCTGCTCATGTTAAAACAAAATGGACATGTCTGTCTACTCTCCAAGAGTTAAGTTCAACTCCTCGAAACTTTTTTTGATGGCAACCCTCAAATCTGGATAACTGCTTTAACTTTCTGCTTCAAATCATAGGTGCCTGTGAGGATGGAAAGAGGGGAAATGACAAACAAGGATCATCATGGTCACAACATAAAATCCCTTGGTTCATACACAGTACTTGCATCTGTCATTGAGTCAGAAATAGAAAAGACCAAGATTTAGATCATGACATTGTAATTTTGTCATTCTTTTCTTCATTGCAGTTTGTACCAGACTTCTATTCTCAACGTCCATATTCAATTCTGTCTACTTTATTTGGTGACCCACCCCAGTACAAAGGGAAGAGGATTAAACTGCCTATCTCAGAATCATCTTTTGATCCAGGGGGGTTCTTAAGCCGGTTTTTTTTAAATAAAACAGCACAGAAGATCAGAAATCCAACATATAAACTCTCCTTATGGTAGCACTTCCCAAACTTTTTCCTTCATTACCCCATACCAGTTATCAGAAAGTCTTATTGAACTTCAAGGATTGTGGTAAGTCTCTTTCTTTGGCACCATCAAAATTTGAGCGGTTGCTGAACAAATGGTCGTAACTCAAGAACTACTTGAATTATAAAACCAACACCACTGAATTATTTTTATGTCATTTCACTAAATTACCATTGGTAACTTCCCTGATTTTTCATCATAATGTGGGGTACTAAGGGAGATTTTTGAATATATTTTAGTACATGTGACAATTTTGAAGTCGATTTAAATGTCCCTGTTATGATCAGTAATGGATTCATGTGCTGTTATCCAAAGGAAAACCAATTTTACCCAGTTTGGGGTAATTTACCCAGCTTTGGGAAGCATTACCTTATGGTACATTCTTGTTGGATAGCCATAGCCAACAATAATTTCCTATTCTTCCAATAGATTGCAGAAAATTGAGGACTCCTAAATATACTATTGGGGTGAGGGTGAGGTTGTAAAAGACTGTGTATGTTGTATATCACTTTAGGGAACTTTTCAATTGAAAAGTAGAACCAGCATATATAGGCACAATTACATACAAATACAGCTCTGGGTGTTAAACGAATGATAAATGTATGAAAAGGTATATAATGAATCAGTGATTTGACGGGACTCTCCCAACACTTTCGACATTTTCTATTTATATCAGTGGCTAGCTAGGGATCAGACACCACTGGACACTTACCCAGAGTGGCTGTGTGGTGCTTAGGGCTGTTGACGTTCAAATGGATGTAATTGTGATGCATGTTATCTGCAAGGCAAAAAAGAGAAGCATGCATGGGGCCGCACTGCATATTCTTGCAGGTGGCCACTAGAGGTCATCTCATTCAGGTTTTTCCAAGCACCAGTTCTGGAATATGGGTACCAATCCCGCTGCGTTAAATCAGAGAGGACTCAAAGGCGTTTATTTGGTCCTCCTCTTTGCAGCTTTTGGTCTGTGTCCAAACATGACAGTGCTCAGAACGCTCTCTGCAAAGGGAAATGGTCTTATTGGGTCTCCTTCTGAAACTTGTTTTTCTAGATGGCACGTGCTGGAGGAATGTGATTTGCAGAAATCACTGGGGAATTCTTTTCGCCCTAGAAAGCTGAACACTACTGCTTACAGAGCAGTAACAGGTATGCAGCTCAGTGGAAGGGGAAAAAGGGGGCAACTTTCTATGATTCCCAGGTTTTGTCTGGTGCTAGCATTCCGTCTTCCCTTTCCTCTTACAGTACTGTGATTTTTCAAATAGGTTAGACGAAGAGAAGACAAAGACACAGAAAACAAGGAACAGTGTCAGGATGCTTTTCAGCATTTGGACAGCAGATTTGACATTCATCCACTCCCATCTCCTACGAAGCTTGGATTCTCCTGTGCATGCTGCTGGCCTTCCTATTATTTGTTTGTTACTCTGTTTGGGCTACTGTCTTGACTGTATTCACCACCTGAGTTTGCTATTAGAATGATTATGGTCAAGATTCCCTGGCTGGACTCTTAACATCTCTGGGAAGAAAGTGCAATGTCCTTGAATAGAAAACCCCACTTTCTTTTTCTTTTCACCTGGAAAAGGAGCAGTTTTGTATCTGAATGCAGTTCTCTCCCCCTCCTCACTACCCTAATATTAATGTTTGAGCCAGCACAAAGACAGCCAGACAGTTAGAATTGGTTGTCATGGCAATCAGGCTGTTTCCCTGTGAGTTTTTGCAGCTTAGTTCCTGCTGCTGATACATATATAATTTAAACGCTGCAACCTCCAAGTTGCAGAAGTTAGCATGAGATACTCTTAGGGGGAAATTGCAGAGGGGAAGGACCTGGAGATAGGATGGAGACAAAACATGGGCGCAGGAGAATGCTGGTAGTTGGCAAAAAGTTATCTCAGTGATTCTAGGAAAGCGTACTGCATTGTGTAGATATATTGTTGTTTGTGCTCTCAGTAACATTTATCTAACACTTTTTTCAAAGAGGTTTGAAAAGATCTTCCATTTGGATCTTAATATCCAAGGTTTGTTCTCATCAGAATTTAGACTCCAAAACATGGAAGTGGCAGATCTACAAACAATATTATAAAACTTTTACCTTGTTTGACTTCTTTGAGTATGTCTGATTCAACAGTGAACCAACATCAAGGAAAATGTTTCTTGAAAACTTGTATCTTCTGTCTTGATTTCATGGCTGTTCCCAAGATTTGCAAGAGGGGAATTATATTTCTCAGTTTGTACATACCATGGTTTTGTGTTATCGCCAAGTGGATTACAGGGTCATAAAAAGGGGAAAAAATCCATTTGATCATTGGCCAGTTCAAAGCTTATATTCAGTTTAGAAACTGAGATATATCACTCACACTATTCCTGATGCAAACTATTTTTATCAGAACTTTTGCAGCCTAATCAAGAATTTGGAAATGATTTCCAAGTAACCAAGGCCAAGATGTTTAACTTACTATTCCTGAGCCTGAGATCCCTTACTGCATCTTGAAAAGTTGAAGATGGATGGACTTCAACTCCCCATAATTCCCCAGCCAGCTTTGCTGGGACTTGAAGTCCACATATCTTCAAATTGCCAAGGTTGAGAAACATCGCCTTATTGCATCTTCACTTTTAAGTCATACTGCTGGAATTTCATAGCATGTTTTGGTTTTGGGGTTGTTTTTTTTGGGGGGGGGCAAATAGAAAAAGCAAGATATTTATTATAGCATTATTTCTGCTGCTTAGAAGTCATTAAGCCCCCTTCCCCAAAATTTAAAATAACCAACACACACCAGTGACAGTATCAAATCACTGGTCTGCTGAGGTCAACAAAGTAAAGAATAGATCACACGTACCCCACTGTAAAATTGCCTTTGGAAAAGGTAAGCACCTGATAAAGGCATAAATTCAGTGGCTAGTTTGAAAGTCACTCTCTTACCCAGCAGCCCCACATCTTCTTCTCTTACCATGACTACTTTTGGAAGGTTTCACTGCATTGTACAGATTCTTCGGAGGACGAGCTGAACCATTGTCTTGGAAGTTTGAGTTCATCACAAGGCTGTTGTTGCGCTCAGAACATGAGGTGGTGCCTGCTTGATGCCTGAGAATGTCAACCAAAGCCCTGGCCAGAAAAAGAAGCCAAATGTTCATGGAGTGGAAATCATAAAGTATATACATGGGTTCTGTTGAGGAACCTAGAGCACACATTTAACCATCTGCATGTTGATGGGGAAATTGTTCGACCAAACAGAGTTTCATATTCTCACTCTCAATTCTGCAGTGCAGAATCGTATAGTTAAATATAACTAGGTAGCACTAAGTTGTGGAAGGGGAGAAGCAAGATGGTGCTGTATCAAAAATACATGTTTTAAATGGAAACCAGTTCAAGGTCTTCTAGGCCCTTCTGTGTCTAGTACTATATCCAGTCCTAAGCGCCCTGTGAAAAAGGCAATAGACCAGGGGTCTTCAAACTCTGCCTTTTATGACTTAGGGACTTCAACTCCCAGAATTCCTCAGCCAGCATGCCTGGCTGAGGAATTCTGGGAGCTGAAGTCCATGAGTCATAAAAGAGCCAAGTTTGAAGATCCCTGAGATAGACAGAGTCAAATAGCTTCAAAGAATGGCAATGCTTTTGGTCAGAGATGTAGAAGACAGGTTCTGGAAGCTAGTATATTTCATCTAGTGAAGGACAAAAGATGATGAAGGCAAGTGAACAAACTACAAATGTGAAGAACTGTCTGTTAAGATATTTAATAGCTTGAACAGTAAAGTGGATAATGGGCCAGAACACACAGATTGGTGGGCTCCTACATGAGGCAATCTACATTATGATTGGTTGCTGGGTGTAAAGGGAGAGTTTCCCTCCCCCTGTCCTTTTCTTCTCTGTAGGCTGTTCTGTGATTTATTTGACAATTTACCTCATGATGTAGTGATGTGCCCGACTATATAATTTGCTGTATACATTGATATAAAATATATTTATTTCTATAAAACTACAAGTTCATGTCAGTGTCTCTGACTTCATTTGGATACCTGCTGCACAATTCCTTAACACTGTCCCACAGAAGGAGATGGCAATTTGTTCTCTACTCTCTGGAAGATTTTGAATGAATATAAATAAATTTATCCAATCCCATTGTAGCATAGACCTGCTTGTCTATTATTCAGAACAATAATTATCTATTTTTTCTTGATACTTGACACTTTCATGACACTTTATGTTGTAGCACAGAACCCTGGACATCTTGCACAAGATTCTGGGGAATTTTTTAGAATAGAGTAGAATGGAGTGGAGTGGAGTGGAGTGGGGTGGAGTGGAATGGAATGGAATGGAATGGAATAGAATAGAATAGAATAGAATAGAATAGAATAGAATAGAATAGAATAGAATAGAATAGAATAGGAAGGAACCTTGGAGGTCTTCTAGTCCAGCCTACTGTTCAAGCAGGAGAACCTATACCATCTCAAACAGGTGATTGTCCAGTCTCTTCTTGAAAATTTCCAGTGATGGAGCGCCCACGATTTCTGGGGATAAGTTGTTCCACTGGTTGATTGTCCTCACTGTCAGGAAATTTCTCTTTAATTCCAGGTTGCTTCTCTCTTTGATCAGTTTCCAACCATTGTTTCTGGTCCTTCCCTCTGGTGCTCTGGTGAACAACCTGACCCCCTCTTCCTTGTGGCAGCCCCTCAGATACTGGAATACTACTATCATGTCTCCCCTATTTCTTCTTTTCTTTAGACTAACCAAATCCAAGTTCCACAGCCGTTCTTCATATGTTTTGGTCTCCAGGCCTTTTATCATCTTAGTTGCTCTTCTCTAAATTTTTTCCAAACTCTCAACATCTTTTTTGTGATATGGTGACCAAAATTGGTTGCAGTATTCAAGGTGTGGTCTTACTAGGGCTTTATAAAGCGGTACTAATACTTTGCATGATCTTGATTCTATGCCTCTGTTTTCTAGCAAACCCATTTAGTTTGCAAAAAAAATAATAATAATTTGGCTTTGCTATCACCAACTATGAAGTTTAACCATTAAAGTGTGTATATATATATATATATATATATATATATATATATATATATATATATATATATATATATATATATAGGTGAGAAATAAAATGATCACCAGGGTAATAAAACTATAAAATTTATTTAAAAAGCGCCTAGCTTTCGCCGTCACCTGCCGGCATCCTCAGGGCTAGTGCGCCAGGGAGTGAGAGAGTCGCTTTTATAGGTGTACTAAAGTCTGCGCACGACTCCTCGACCTCGTCATCGGGCCTAATTGGTATGACTGCGCACGGCTGATCTGTTCCTTCCCATTCATTTCGATCGCATGTTCATCCTCATCCATCCTTCTTTCCCCCAATCTTGGGGTGGATGGGTAAATGCCTCTATTATTAGGCCCGATGACGAGGTCGAGGAGTCGTGCGCAGACTTTAGTACACCTATAAAAGCGACTCTCTCACTCCCTGGCGCACTAGCCCTGAGGATGCCGGCAGGTGACGGCGAAAGCTAGGCGCTTTTTAAATAAATTTTATAGTTTTATTACCCTGGTGATCATTTTATTTCTCACCATGAATACTCCCAGGGTTCATATTTTTAATTTTCTCAAACATATATATATATATATATATATATATATATATATATATATATATATATATATATATATATATATATATATATATTTCTGAGGTTTTTGCGGGTATTTGTATATAGGTCTTTGGTTGTTCGGGTTTTCTCCCGCGTAAAATTGGAAGTGTCTTGGCGACGTTTCGACGAAGTCACATTCGTCATCTTCAGGCTGGTGTTTTTAGCTTCTTGCTTTGAGCCGCAATGTGTGGTCTTCTTGCTTTGAGCAGCACACATTGCTGCTCAAAGCAAGAAGCTGAAAACACCAGCCTGAAGATGACGAATGTGACTTCGTCGAAACGTCGCCAAGACACTTCCAATTTTACGCGGGAGAAAACCCGAACAACCAAAGACCTATATACAAATACCCGCAAAAACCTCAGAAATATATATATATATATATATATATATATATATATATATATATATATATATATATATATATATATATATATATATTCCTCAATTCTCTGCCATATAGATATGTTCTGGTGCAATTTCACTTAGAGCAATGTGGGATGATACCATTTGTAATCCAATATTTAGTTTTTGCTCTAGAACATACCAGTACTTTCAACCCTGCTTCTTTGAGCCTATAGATCAGTATCTTTCAATCATGGCAACTTTAAGACATGTAGACTTCAACTCCCAGAATTCTCCAGCCAACCTGAAACTAGCTGGGGAATTCTGGAAGCAGAAGCCCACATATTTTAAAGCTGCCCAGATTGAGGATCAATACTATAGATTATTGATAGACCTTGGTGTTGATGGGAACCCAGCTTGGCAAATTCATTCAATCTTTCTCACCAGCAACTGCATTTCCAGAACTTTTGTTCAGCTATTTTAACTTTGATTGGGGTTTGTTTCTGATTTTTCATGGTTTAGCATGTTATGCAAACCCAGCCAATTTTTTTAGGTTGTGATTCTATTTATTGTGGCAACCCAGAAAATGGGTTAATTCAATAATCAGTTTAAGCATGCTCTGTGAACCCAGCCAGCCTTACTCTAGGACAGTATGAGGAACGGTTACTGGAATTGGGTATGTCTAGTTTAATGAAGAGAAGGACGAGGGGGGACATGCTAGCAGTGTTCCAATATCTCAGGGGCTGCCCCAAAGAAGAGGGAGTCAAGCTATTCTCCAAAGCACCTGAAGGCAGGACAAGAAGCAACAGATGGAAACTAATGAAGGAGAGAAGCAACCTAGAACTAAGGAGAAACTTCCTGACAGTTAGAACAATTAAACAATGGAAAAATCTGCCTCCAGAAGCAGTGAATGCTCCAACACTGGAAGCTTTTAAGAAAAAACTGGACAGCCATTTGTCCGAAATGGTGTAGGGTTTCCTGCCTGAGCAGGGGGTTGGACTAGATGACCTCCAAGGTCCCTTCCAACTTTATTATTATTATTATTATTATTACTTTTTTGCCATGATTGTTAATTGAATCACTGCAGTTGTTAAATAAATCATGTGGTTGTTAACTCCATTGTTTATCAGAAGAACATGGTGATCCCATGACCCTAGGATACTGCAACTGTTGTAAATACATGTCAGTTGGCAAGTGCCCTCCAAGTCCCTTCCAACTTTATTATTATTATTATTATTATTATTATTATTATTATCATCATCATCATCATCATCATCATCATCATCATCATCATGTTTCTCAATCTCTGGAACTTTTAGACATGCAGACTTCATCTCCCAGAAATGAAGCATGCTAGGGGAATTCGGGAATTCTGGAAGTTGAAGTCTGCATGGCTTAAAGTTCTGGAAGTTGAAAAAACCACTTTAGGATGATTCTGGTTTTGTTCTTCGTCTACTTGATGTGATATAATTTAAAAATCTGGATATATGACAGAATCACAGCCAATATATTAATATAACTGGAATTTTACACAAGTATTCCCTGTTCACATGAAGAACTCACTGGGAGACATAGGAAGTAATCTATGGATCTCACTCGACATTTCCACTCAAGGCAGGTGGAGCACAATAAAATATGAGGCACCAATCTGTAATTTACCTACCCAAGTTTGCTGCACATTGGAAGCAAATCTTTGCTGAAAGATTTTTATTTTGGTGAGAGAAGAATTAGCGCTCTCCATTGTAATTGTTTTAATATTAAGTGATAGGCTTCCACATCTCTGAAAGAGGCATGCTTTAGTTTTACTCATAGGACATGAAAACAAAATGCAGCCAGGAACAGGTAACCGAAATACAGTAATGGGCAGTGAGAACAGCCTTGAGGAAGAGGAAGAAGAGCTACAAAGGTCAGGTAAGAGATATCTCAGCCCAAAGGAGAGTCAGAATGGAATTGAGAAAGCATTCCAGACTTGACCCTTCCCAATTCTCTTTAGGACAGGGGTGTCCTGAAACTACTTGCTGACAGATTTTTAGGTGAACTTGGGTGTCCAATCTTGGGAACTTTAAGACTTATAAACTTCAACTTCCAGAATTCCCCATGCTGGCTAAAGAATTCTGGAAGCTGAAGTCTACAAGTCTTAAAAGTTGCCAGGATTGGGTACCTGTGTTTTAGGATCAAGGCAAGAGTTGCAAGATTGATTCAGCTCTTCAAAGTAGACCTGTCAGACATCAAAGTTGGGAATACTAAAACTAGTTTTATTATAGGTTTATGGGAAGAGAATCTTGCAACTCTGAGTTTACTTCCATCTTCCCTGCCTTTACCCCAAAGAAAACCAGGAGGGTCAACTTTGGGATGTTTCCTCAAATTCCATTCCCGCTTTGGACTTAGATTTCTTTTATCTGGCTGCAGCTCTTCCACCTCTTCCTCAAAGTTATTCTCACAGCCCATCATGAATCCTTGGTTTGCGGAAGAGACTACAGCTTTGAGACAGAACACAATGTTGAAGGCCAACTCTCTCGAGTCCAAGAAATTGAATAATATGTGATGAAAGAGAGACACTTTCTTACATCTTGAAAGGCTACTGCTAATGCAAGTGGGAAATATTGGTCTCCCTATTTTAGGAAAACAGGCTGTCTTGCAATAGGTTGATTTTCTTCCATTTGCACCTAGATTTAGCAGCAAGTGAAAATATATCCAACTGAACCCAAATCTGGAGACCCTTTAGATTTGGAAGCAACTCAAGGGTACGATCTATCCCCCCGATCAATGGATCAGAATACTTCTGGGTCCTTCTCTGCAGCCCTTATCCTTACCTGGGCACATTGAGTTCTCTTCCATGGGGTCTCCTGGAGGCTTTGCTGAAAAAGAACTTGATCCCGACTCCCACAGCAAAGGTGAAGCTGATGACGCCACAGATGACGTACACGGTGCTATTGCTCTGCTGCTTGCTGCCATTGCGTACATCGGGCCCATTCGTGGCTGAGCCAGCCATGGTGGTTGCGAACCACTGGGGGTTGTCACGACACTTCCCTTGCTCCAGTCTCCTGGATCGATCGTCACAGCAGAAGCGGTACTGGCAGGTGCCGCAGCAGAACCGGTAACCCCCCGTGGTACAGTTGAAGGTCGCATCGTATTGCCCCATGACATCGTAGTAGCCTTGGCATGTTTCAGAGGGCCGGGCTCTGCTGCTTGTGCTAGTGGTTGAGTTAGAATTTGGTGCTGTCAAGCGCTTCAGATGGGCTAGTAGGCTGGGCAGTCCCCAACTCTGGTTTGTATAATGTGGTGCCTGAACTACAGCTAAGGCTGTGTGCCCAGCCAAGGCTTCCAGGGATGCGTAGAGCATGACTGTCAGCAACTGATGCATGATGGCGGACAGTATGGAGCTGAGAAGCTCAAGCCAGACTGGCCAATGTGGTGGGTCTTTTAGAAAGTATATAAAAGAGATCAAGGAAGCAAAACCCTATAAAGACAAAGAAATGAGTGTTAAGAAAAGCCCTGGTGGAGTGAATGCAAAATGCTCCTCAGTTTGATAGAGGTAGTCTCGACTTACGACAACAATTGAGCCCAAAATTTATGTTGTTAAGTGAGACATATGATAAGTGAGTTTTGCTCCATTTTGCTACCTTTTTTGATACAGCCGTTAGGGGAATCACTGCAGTTGATAAGTTAGTACCCAGTTGTTAAGTGAATCTGATTTCCCCATTGACTTTGCTTTCAGAAGGATACAAAAGGTGATCACATGACCTTGGGACACAGCAACGGTCATAAATATGAGCCAGTTCCAAGCTTTGAATTTTGATCACATGATCATGGGGATGCCGGAAAGGTCGTAACTGTGAAGAACGCTCATAAGACACATTTTCAGTGCTGTTGTAACTTTGAACAGTCACTAAACAAACTGTTGTAAGTTGAGGACTACCTGTACTAACAGCACAGGTTAGCCTTCCCAGTGCAGTGGTCTTCAAACTTGGCCCTTTTATGACTCATGGACTTCAACTCCCAGAATTCTTCAGCCAGCGTGCCTGGCTGAGGAATTCTGGGAGTTGAAGTCCATGAGTCATAAAAGGGCCAAGTTTGAAAACCCCTACTCTAGTGTCTTCCAAAAATTCAACCTCCCCAAATGGCATGTCAGAGGACATCAGGTTGGAGAAAGCTATGATAGAGCCATCAGGAACAACTGCTGATGATGAGCTTCTTCCTCATGAAGTTTCCCAAATCAACATCTCCCTTAAAATGTTTGCTAGGTTCCCTCAACCTGAGATCACCCAGGATGAGAACTCTGGTTTAAAAATCCGAATGGCGTCATTTCAGAATGGCTGATCTCAGCTCACAGCCAGGATAACAACTCTCAGCAGCAAATTCCATAATAATTGAATGATACAGTATTTCATGCTTTAGAGCAGCGGTTCTCAACCTGTGGGTCGCGACCCCATTTGGGGTTGATCGACCATTTCACAGGGGTCGCCAAGCAAGGCTGTCCACCATTTTTTCCCCTTTTCCAGTGGGTGCCTTACCTCTCTTGGGCTGAGCCAGCTGGTGGCCCAGCCGGTGGTCGGCCTGCTCCATCTCTGCTACTTGCCAGCTACGCCTCGGCCGGCGCAGGGGGCGGCACCACGCATGCACGGCGCTCCCGGGCAGGGAAAGTCCTTGACTTACGACCGGTTGGGTAGTCCTCAACTTACGACCAGTTTAGTCCTCAACTTACGACCGATTGGGGGTCGCGGCATTAAAAAGGTTGAGAACCACTGCTTTAGAGCTTTGCATGACATGGTTTATCTGCTTCCGTCTTAATGTGATGTCTGGATTCAGTTGCTATGGTTTATGGCATAGGTCAGGGGTGGGAACCATGGCCCTTTGATGACTTGTGGACTTCAACTCCCAGAATTCCTGAGCCAGCATGAATCAAGGTGAATCAAGCTACTGGGCTTTATTCAGCAAATCACTGTTTTTAAAAATTCATATAACATGAAGGAGGAATGTAATTATTTGGGTTTCTGAACAGCATCTGAATCTTCTAGTGTCTATTTCATTGGCAGATTCTATTAGATAGGAATGGAATGTATTGATTTATCTTGCTATCTTCCCACTTAAAATAGTTCTCAAGTTGGTCAATAAAGCTATAATGAATATATTACAATTCAAATTCAAACTTTTCAATAAGAGAGAAATAAGTGTGCTCACCAGAATAAAACAGTATAATTTTTAAACTAAATGTTTCTATACCACTCTTGCTCCCAGAGACTCCCAGGATATTTTAAACAAGTAAATAAAATGTATTAATAATTTAAATAAAATCATCTCAATAAACCCATTTTTGTTAAAAAAAAGATAAACAAATCAGAATTCATTTTCAGAAATAAAAAAGCTAAACCATTACTCATCTTTAAAAATAATTTGATTATAGACTAGATGTTATTTCATAAATGCGTTAATGAAAGTGGCTTTCTTTATTTTAGCAGAAAGTCAGCTTAATCATTTCAAACCTTTATTTATATATATACTGTATACACACACACACACACACATACAAACATATATACATACACAAACACACAACATATACCTATATTTCAAAATCACTAAGTTTTATCCATTCTGAATAGTAAGAAGTAATATATTGTAATTTTCCTTCCTTCCTTCCTTCCTTCCTTCCTTCCTTCCTTCCTCTTAAATTATGTATATTTGACCTTCTGAAAAATAATCCTGAAAATATTTGGCAGGGGAAGAAGGAAAGCAAGGGAATTCTTATTTTTCCAATATTTCACTTAAACTGGATATATATATATATATATATATATATATATATATATATATATATATATATATATATATATATATATATATAAAAAAAATCCAATTTTTTTTCAACACTGCTAATGTTGGATAGAGTCATTTTGCCAACCTCTTTTCAAGCCATATATTCAGTTGCTTTGACTGATATATGAGAGCAATTCGGGAAATTCGTTTGGTTATCAGTGACAGATACTCACAGATACAGAAATTTTATTATACACATTAGAAAACTACAACATTACATTACTTTTCGACACAATCGCCAGTTAAATTGAGACACTTGTCATAATGTCTTACAAGGTTTGAAATCTTTTAATAGCAGTCACTCGGTGCCAAATCTGGGCCATGGGGGGGGTGATCAAAAACATCCCAACGGAACTGCTTCAAAAGTTCTTGGGTGCGTTTAGCGGTGTGCAGGTGAGCATTATCGTGAACCAACACCACACCATAAGTCAGCATGCCCCAATGCTTGTTATGGATGGCTCGTCTGAGTTTTCGTAATGTTTCACAGTAGACTTCTGAACCACGCTCCATGAACTTCACTAGCAGTGCTCCTTTGGCATCTTCACATTTGGCGGGATTTTCTATGGCACTACTTCCGGTGTGGTGTTAGTTCACGATAATGTCCGCACACCACTAGACGCACCCAAGAACATTTGAGGCAGTTCCATTGGGATGTTTTTGATCACCCCCCCCCCATGGCCCAGATTTGGTGCTGAGCAACGACTACTAAGGAATTTCAAAACATGTAAGACGTTATGACAAGTGCCTCAATTTGAATGGTGATTATGTCGCAAAGTAATGTAATGTGGTAGTTTTCTAATGTGCATAATAAAATTTCTGTATCTGCGAGTGTCTGTCATTGATAACCAAATGGAGGCTTATTTCCGAATTGCCCTCATAAATCAACTAATAACCGAAATGCGTATCAAATCAAGGCTAAGTGGCCAAGAGAAGGCTCAAGATAATATCCCTGTAATTCCTGTTCAAACTGATCATTCCAAGACATTATAAATTTTCCTGCTTTCTCACTCTCTTTCATTCAAGAGGAAAATATGAATCAGTGGAGTCTCCTCGACATTTTCTGCCACCTGGAGAAGTGAATCTTGATTCCTGCTCCCCAATTCTTTTCATTTCGCCAGCCTGATAAATGCAACTGTATATATAGACTCTCTTCCAGTAAGTAGGATGCTTGGGCAAACATTGGCTTTGTCTCAGATAAAAGGAGGATGTTTTTCACGTAATTAAATGACATCTTCACTCTATCATTGCAATCTGTGGAGGAAGATAGTCTGGAGTCCCAAGAGGGAGGGGCTGCTTCCCAGAAGACAAAGAGGCAGCAGAGCCCGGAATGTCTGGTAAGCAGGAAGTAGATTAAGATGGCCCCTCCCTAGCAGTTCACAGAGTGTGGGGTCCTTGGTGCTCTCTGTACTTGGCTGTTTTCTTGCAGACCTTTCATTACCCAAATAAGTAACGTCATCAGTGCTAGAAGGGAGTGGGGTTTGCTCTCTGTTTATATACAAGTGGCTTTCCCTGTCAGTGTTGGCAGGAGTGGTCTTGGTGATTCCTCGATTAGGCTGTTGTTTACCCTGATCAATGAATTACCAATTCAGACAAACAAGCTAAGAAGAAACAGGTAATAAAATATCTGCAAGAAAACTGCAAGCTAAGAGACCAACCAAGGATCCCATCTCTTAATATATTCAGTTTAGACATCAAAGCACATTGAAGATATCCCCCCCCCCCCCCGAATGGAGATGAAATGTCTGCAGCCAAATCACCAAGCTCGGAGATCAAACAAACAGCCCAACGACTAACTGGAGCGACTAATATTCAAACACATCTCAACTTCGTAGTTTTGTGGTCTCGCTACCGATGGCTCCAAGGGAGTTTACAAAACAGAATGAAATAACATGAAACCAAACCCCAGCATCATAATATGTATAACATTCTAACAGAATAACAGAGTGATAGAGTATCTTCTGGAGACAAGCCGTTCCACTGATTAATTGTTTTGTCAAGAAATTTCTCCTTAGTTCTAGGTTGCTTCTCTCCTTGCTTAGTTTCCACCCATTGCTTCTTGAACTGCCTTCGGCTGCTTTGGAGAATAGCTTGATTCCCTCTTCTTTGTGGCAGCCCCTGAGCTATTGGAACACTGTTATCATGTCCCCCCTCGTCCTTCTCTTCATTAAACTAGACATACCCAATTCCTGCAACTATTCCTTATATGTTTTAGCCTCCAGCCCCCTGATCATCTTTGTTGCTCTTCTCTGTACTCTTTCTAGAATCTCAACATCTTTTTTATATTTTCTGGTGAAAAAAGACACACACATATATAAAACCCCCAACTTTTATTGAGCAAAGAGTCTACTTGAATGCCATCAGCAATTTGCTCCATAATATAAGCCCCACCAGAGAGAGAGAGAGGGGAAAAAAAGGAGAATTATGTGCAGAAATAAAACACATCCATTTATTCACTGAACCACAAATGTGCTGGCCTTTCGAATGAGTAAAGAAATGGGTCCACAATACTGTAGGTGCCACAGGAATACTGAACTAATGTTACATGGTCTGACATTTTACATACCCAAGGCTAAGGTGCTTTTTTTTTTCTTGAGCTGCATTTGGAAAGAGCTTGTCATTGGTCATTACGGTTATCAAATATAA